TTTTTTCCGAAGATTTCTCCTCGGGTTTTGGAAAGCGCAAAAAGTTTTTTTTCCAGTTTCCAAATTTTCACGCACATCTCGCAACGAAATCAGCTTATTTGATTATTTCCCCTATCTAATTCAACTCGTGATTTTCTTGATATTATAATAATACAAGAATAATCCTCAAATATAAGCATGTTTGTATAACATATATGATTAATGCTCTCACGTTCTTGTGGGCACTGATTTTTTTCCCATGGCGGTGTGACCCCTTTAACGAAAAGGTCGTTTGAGTATCAGTAGAACGTTTTTTTAAACATTGTCATTGTTGAATTCAGCATATCTTATTCGATAATCGCGATATGGTYTTTTTTTGCTGAATACCAAYCATGAAATCAACATTGAAATATACATACCGGAAGTTAAATRTTTTTTTTTCGARTCRCGTCGTGACATATCGCCCAAGATGTTTCTTATATTGTGTCAAATTTTTTTTTTGTTTTCAGGAAAAACATTTCAGCTAAAAGAGACATTTTGACAGTTGATAAAATTTTTTTTACCATATGACCTTGATCAGGAAATCGTTATTGTGCTGTGACACCTTTGCTTCTAAAGATTATAGACAATCTTGTCTTCGCAAATTATGTATTATGGCATATCCAAAGACAATGTTTTTTTTTGACATTTTTTTTTCGCTTTCTATATTTGTTTCTTTTACTTATTATGTCTACAATGAATGATGTTTATGCATTCAATAATAAATGGTAGTTTAAGATGTGTTATCTTTGATTAATTTTTTTTTTCAATAAACATTGAAAAATCAGTATATTAATTGCAAGGATTTCATCATTCTTAGATGTCACCGACTACATAAAGATGTTTCACAACTGTTTCTACATCAAATCCTTAATCTGTTATTTTTTTTTCAAATTTCTTCTAAATGCCAGTCTTTATGGCTTCAGTTATTGACAATGTTTATTTTTTTTTTGCTTGTTCAAACATGCTCCTATGCTCCTTTCTATTTAAAAATATATTTTTTTTTTTTTGAATAATATTGGATTACCTTATAATTTATGAATTTTATCAGTTGTGGGTATTTCTTTTTTTTTGGGTTAATTCTGGTTTTAGATAGTGCTTTTGTTGTAATACTAGGCAGATTGTTTTTTTTATGTTACTGTGGCAGTAAGATGCAGGTCCTGTCAGTCAGTCAGTTAGCTATAGGTTTTTTTTGTCGATACAATCAGTAATTATTATAATCACATCAGTTATTATTAATAAAAAATTTTTTTTATTTATTCTTAATTTAATATCATTAATTATTATCATTTTTGAGATAGACCATAATTTTTTTATGTAATCACATAAAAAAGAAAAAGAAAAACAACAGCAACAACAACAACAAAAATTTTTTTACAATAACAAAACAAACAAACAAACAAAATAATTCTAGGATTGTCTCATCAACCTTTTTTTCTTCAATAGTTGTGATCAATACTTAATTAATTTATTGACCATAGCCAGCTGCTTTTTTTTTGGTTGYACAATTTCTAAACTAACACAGAACAGAAGATAGTGTATTCCAAGACTGCAATGCATCACTGTTCATAAGTAGTTTTTGTGGTTTCAGAGTGACTATTAGCTCTGTACAGTCATCAAGCACTTCAATGGAAACCAATTAAGTTTTCAATTATTTTACACAGCTAACATGGATTTTTTTAGCAACAATCCATTGCAGTCTTGGAATTGACTATAAAGTATTCAGCATTTTTTCTAAAATAGCTGTGTATCTATATTTAACACTGTATTGAATTAAATTTGTATTAATTGATTTATTTTTTTATATACAATGCCTATGGATGCCATCAGTAGACAGAATGTCTCTCCTATGCACCATTTTTTTATCAATGGTGTTGAYGACATGGCAAACCTGACCGATTTACATGATTCTGCAATATTTTTTTATTTACATATCCGCTTTAAAGTTGACAAAATATATGTAAGTACTTTAAGAATTTTTTTTTTGTTTGTTAGAGAATAATAAGTTCTCCATCTTCATGTATACGGAGTATCAAAGTATTTTTTTTCTAAATGTAACTTCTATGCTTCTGTTTTCAGTCATACATTGGGAGTATTCTGTGTTCCCTCAATCCATATTTCTACATTGATGGACTTTATGATGCCTCAGTCATGGAAAAATATTTTTTTAAACATATTGGCGAACTAGAACCACATATCTACGCTATTGCTAATGAAACGTATTACTCTATGTGGAAAAAAGCAGAGAGTCAGTGTATCCTGATAAGGTATCCATGACGATAGATTTTTTTAAATTTTATGTAGYTGGCTCATMATTTAAYTCTTCTSTCAGTYAGTTAATGGYTTTTTTTTGTGGGTTTGCCAGTGASTTGGTGGGTGGGTTTGGTGGGTGKGTKGGTCTATCCTTTTTTTTTGATCAATCCAGCTGTCAGTCAGTCAGTCCACGTTATATGACATTTTATATGAATTTTTTTACATTACAGACTGACAATAATATTATTAGTCATTAATATGAATAACATTAATAGTTTTTTTTTACTTAATCAGTCTGTCAGTTAGTGAGGTAATAAATTGTTGTGGTCTATTTTATTTTTTTTTAACTGTTTTTTTTATCTAATGATTTTAATTATTTTATTGACAGTGGTGAGTCAGGATCAGGTAAAACCGAGTCCACCAAGTTCATCCTYAAYTTCCTGTCAGAAGTTAGCAGTAGTGGAGACTCTGGGGATAGTGGGATGAGCGTTGAAAAAGCCATTATTCAAAGCAGGTAGATTTTTTTTTTCCTTACCTTATAATATACACCTAATTACAAGACATAGACATTAAAAGATAATTTTTTTCTCGAGTGATATTCTTTCATGTTGTAATTTATTTTTCTTAATTTGTAAATCTTGTTTTTCTAAAGTTTCATTTTTAGTTTTATTTTTTAAATTGCTTATCATTTAGCATTCCGATTTTTTTTGAAGTTCTATGCTGTTTTTGAATGTTCTGTCTTTTCTAGTCCCATCTTAGAAGCCTTTGGTAATGCCAAGACAGTTTACAACAACAATTCCAGTAGATTTGGCAAGTTTATCTATTTTTTTTTCAATGCAAAYGGAAAAATGGATGGTGGCACAATAAAAGATTGTATCCTTATAGTTTTTTTTTACTTGTTATTATTGTCTGAAAGTCAAAGAACTAGAGCACCTTGTAGCATTACTTTTTTTAACGAATAATATTGGCACAAAATATTATGTTGACATGATATTTTAGTTTATTTTTTTTTTTTTGACTTGTATTTTGTGGAAATAAACAGATTTACTTGAAAAGGTATGCATTTAATTTTTTTTTCTTTATAAATGTGAATAACAGGACAAAATAACTTATTCTGTGTTATGTCAACTTTTTTTTGTTGTCAGGCAAAATCCTGGTGAACGAAATTACCATATTTTCTACTCTCTTTTTTTTTTTGCATCAGAAACTCAAAGAAGTAAGAATTCATACTTATACATCCAATTTTGTAAATTTTTTTTTGATTCTTGGATAAAGTTCTAAACAACAACAACAACAACAGCACCACCACCACTTTTTTTACCAACAACAACAACAGAAACGACAATAATAAAAGTAACAACAGCAGCAACACCTTTTTTTAATAACAGCAGCAGCATCAGCAACAACAACAACAATAACAAAAACAACAACATATTTTTTTACAATAATAACAATTACATCAGCAGCAGCACCCCTAACAACAACAACAACACAGTTTTTTTATCAACAACAAAAACAGCAACAAAAAGTAAACAAACAATCTATGATGTGTGTGATTTTTTTGAACAGATGAACTTGTTCTTTATCCTGTTGACAAGTACCATTACCTAAGGCAGAGTGGCTGCGTGAGTGATCCATCAATCAATGACAAAGAAGACTTCCAAAAATTCTTGGTGAGTTTTTTTTTTTGGAATAGCAAAAGTAACATTGTTCATGTACACCATAGGGCAAAATTGTCATTTTTTTAATTCAGCTGGTTGGTGTAGTGGAATGGACACACCACACACCCCAACACTTGATTTTTTTTCCCTCAAGTCCCCTACTCCCCTCCCCGATAAATAATACCTATTGGTGTTATTATTTTTTTTTTGATTTCTTTTCGTAGAGTGCTTTGAATGTGATGATGTTCAGTGATGAGGAAGTGACAGACCTATTACAGGTCGTCTCAGGCATTCTRATGCTKGGYAATGTCAATTTYCTGGCTTTTTTTGGAGCTCARGTGGCTGATAAAAGTGGTATGAATRACTAACATAAAGATAATTATTTTTTTTGGATCCATACTTGTTCTTTTTTGTGTGTGTGATGGGTTCAAGGTTGGAAAATGGTTTTTTTATCACAAAAATCACTACACAATTCAAGTAACTAAGACATGTCTACAAAGTCAGTCATATGAAAATGTGACACCCCACAAGTTCCCCAAACTCTCGCCTTTGATTCACCTGCTTTATTTTTTTATACAAGTACCTCATCCAAATGGCTTCTTCAATATATTGTGCGATTTTCAAAAATTTTTTTTTGAACTGACTTTGGACTATGAATAAGCCAATGATTTGATGATGTCTCCTTTGCTTGCTCTTGTTTACATGGGCTACAATAGATGCATTATATATAACTTTAGCTCTGTTCTTTTAACAGTTCTTGAAAACGTAGCCAATCTACTTCATTTGGACTTTTATGATCTTGGCGATGCTTTTTTTTTGAAGACAATGATTCTTAGAGGAGAAGAGATCCAGTCCCCTCTAACCGTGGAACTTTTTTTGACCGACCTTACCACTGAATCTTCCGTGCGCTACTGTTATTTAAACATTGGTGTTTTTTTTTTTACGCCCTCCGTACTGAAGTGAAGTGTAGACAGACGGGTCCCTTAGCTTTACGTTATTTTCTAATAAGACGAGTCACTGAGAGAATAAAGTGCCATACCTAACGACACAAGGTCGCCCGGTTTGGGAATCGAAACCAGGCCTATAGACCCGGAATCCGATGAATAAACCATCACGGCTCTCTGTTTCAAGCTTCTCACAATTCTTTAATTTGTTGTACAGTATAGATTAATATATATATACCATCTGAATTATTATAAGTGTCATGAATAGAATGTTAATGTAATAATGAAGATCGTCTAAGGTGTGACCCTCCTTGCCAAAGTCCCAATATCTTACTACCAAAACGTTTTTTATCATTTTTTTTTGTCTTGTAGTCTTAAAAACTATAGATTTGTCGACGCAAAAATGGTCATTAATTTTTTTTAAAGTGTGGACTTAGATTCTCGCGATTTGGGACTTGTGTGTACATATCGTAATCTTTTTTTTGACCGTAATCTTAATGCGGTTTTCATCATAGGCAGTTGATTCCAGAGATGCTATGGCGATGAACCTTTATGCATGTACATTCAAATGGGTTATTCGCAAAATTAACAAACGAGTTTTTTTTAAAGATCACTTTTCATCTATTGGTTTACTTGATATCTTTGGCTTTGAAAACTTTTTTTTTTGTGGAATGTCGATGGACAGATGAACAGACGATATATTGGGGGTGGGGAGGGGTGTTTTTTTGTGAGGAGGGGTGGGGAGGGTAGGGTAGGAGGGAGGGGTAAGTTTTAAAGTCAGTTTTTTTCAGCTGTATTTGTTTTGATTTTACTGGCATCTCAGGTGAAGTGATTGACGTAGATTTTTTTTTTCATAATGAATTACGTAGTGTTTCTCTGCTTAATTTTGTTTTTCTCTTTATTTTTTTTTGTCAACCGATTTGAACAATTCAACATTAACTACGCCAATGAGAAACTACAGCAATTTTTTTACAAACACATCTTCTCTCTGGAGCAGCATGAGTACAACAGGTATAAAAAATGGATTTTTTTAATTGATTTGAGCAGTCTGAATGGMTKATATTTGTYGTCTTTTTTAGGGAGGGATTTTTTTGGGCAGACATTGACTGGCAGGACAATGGAGAATGCCTGGACCTTATTGAACGGGTTTTTTTTCTCTATATATCGACTTAAACATATTGTAAAGTGCTTTATGTGTACTGATTTCGTTTTTTTTACCCAGTCAGAGGCTCCACAGACTGACTCAAGCTAAAATAACCTGCCAAAAATTTTTTTTTCCGTTCTCTATTATATATTAGAATGGGCATTTCAATTTATTGGGTGAATTCAGTTTTTTTAATAAGAAATTGCGGCAGTATCCGAATAGCGTGATAATTTCTGATCTTTTCAGATTTTTTTTGTCTTATCACTGATTGATGAAGAAAGCCGTTTCCCTAAAGGAACAGATGAATCAATGTTGGACAAACTGCATTCAAGTCATCAGGTAAGAACGGGTGTTGGCTTAACGACTAGATTTTTTTCGGAAGCGCCTTCCAATGAAGTCAAAATTTGAAAACGGGGCGTTGGAAGAATAATTTTTTTTCGCAGGCTTTTGTTGGGCTACTAGAAGGACTATGGAAGGATCGGAAGCAAAGTTTTTTTTGTGACGGTGACTCCGGAACCTGGAGCGGAAGTAATGAAAGAATGCGAGTAAAAGTTTTTTTAAAACAAGAACATCCAATTCAGAATCGAACAGCCAATATAAACACGTTGATCCTTTTTTTTGTGGGAAAAAAGAGACGTTTCTGCTTCTGATTTCTCCTCTGACAAACACTGAAATTTTTTTCGACTTTCGTTGCGTTTTCGCTGCCGCTGCCGCTTCTTCCTCTACTTCTCCCAATTTTTTTAAATTGAAGTGAAGTGAATTTACATGCATCAATAAATGTATTATTTCACGTGTTTTTTTTTCAATAGTTTTTATCTGAAACCAAGAGTTGCAAATACAAAGTTTGGAATCAAACACTACGCAGGAGAGGTATGGAATCATTAGCCACTGACAAATACATTAAAAATGCTAAAGTAGTTTTTTTATTATTCTATTAGGTGTATTATGACACAAAAGGATTTCTGGAGAAAAACAGGTTTTTTTTTCGTGTATTGTTGTAATGTAAATGTAACTTAAGTTGTATAATTTATTTAACTGGGTTTTTTTTTGCTAGAATGCCTAAACTTTTGTACATACATTAAGGAGCGTGAATTCTGTGTATTTTTTTATTTTCTCAGGATCGTTACATTATGTCATTTTCGTTGTACTTTCAGAGACACACTTCGAGATGATCTGTTGAACTGTTTGAGAGAAAGCAAGTAAGACAGCAATTATAGATAATCCAAGTTGTCTAGCATATGTAGATTCTTGTATATTGATATTTATAGGTTCCATATCAACTTCTTTTTTTCTATTAGGCGATCAGTGCCATTGTGAACTTGAAAATCAGCTTTCAAAGCGTGGCTTTTTTTGAAATCGTTACCATCGGCACTAGCCTGCTTGACTTGGCCTCCAGTCCCCACCTCTTTTTTTCTTTCTTTAGGTGCACCTATACAGTTTATTAGTGTATATAGTCATCATTTTTGCTTTTTTTCGTCAGGTCCGATTTCATCTACGATATCATGGAGCTGATGACGCCAGTACAGCCTTTTTTTAACGCCAAGTCCGCAAAGAAACGACCAACTGTCAGCTCACAATTTAGGGTAACTTTTTTTTCTAATGTAAACACAAACCGCTGAGAAACGTTTGCGTGAATAAGCAAACATTTATTACATAAAGTGACTTCGCTTCTGCGAAACTGGTGTATGATGATGATGATAATGATTGACAATTTTTTTCCCGCTGTAGAACTCTTTAGCATCACTCATGACTACACTGGGCCAGTCTCATCCTTTTTTTATACGATGCTTAAAGCCTAATCATAGCAAGGTAAGAAAAAATATATAAGTTAAATTTTTTTAACGGTTTACAGGAAAGGGAGTGACTGATTGAGTGAATCATKAACATAATCTCCTTTTTTTTCTATTGCTATCCACGAGTTAAAGTTTATGATGACGATTACGTGTATGATTTATTTTTTTTMTATTGAACGTAATMTTTTGTCRCAGTCACCACAAATATTCGACCCTCAATTAGTCGTTAATCAGCTACGTTACTCGGGGATGTTGGAGACTGTTCGTATAAGACGAGCTGGATTTTTTTTTCGTCTCGTTTTCGAGGACTTCTTATTCAGGTTAGTCTATCAAAAACTTTTAATATTTGACTGTACTATCAAGTATCATTCACATGTATGAATTAGAGGGAAATTCCACCTTAAAATTTTTTTCGTGCTTCGCAAAGCATGATGGGTGTATGAGTGCACGTTAAACTCCTGATCAGTTTTTTTTATATTGTGTCAACGTCGTACAAAATTCGATGATCCAAAAACCTCATTCAGTTTATTTTTTTAATGCTGGTAGAACGCGGCTACGGCTTTCTGAGGCCACCACATTCAAGTACGACTTTTTTTAGTGCGACGTTTGACTCGGGCAAGATTCAGCCATACTAATAATTACTTATTTCCTTTTTTTAAGTACTGATGCGTGGAAAACCGTTAACTGGCGAACTTCGTGAGGACTGCGCAAGTCTAGTTCGCGAGTTCGACTCGTCAGAAACTCAATGGAAGATAGGAAAAACAAAAGTATTTTTTTTTGACCAGCTAGAATACACGATTGAAAGAAAACGAAACGCTGAGCTGGTGGTCGTGTTTTTTTTTATCAAGCGAAGGATAATTGGTTACTTGGTGAGAAAGCAGTATCTTAAGACACTTTTTTTAGTCATTCTTCTGCAGAAACTCGCGAAGGTAATGGCATATTATGTATTAACTAATTTTTTTTTTTACCATTGGTTGAAGGATTTGAGCTAAAGCTCGATAAAAGTATTTTAATAATGATCATAACAAGTTTATCTTTTTCTGATAGATTAATTAACGATTTTTAATAATAAAATCATTTTTTTTCTTTTCCACAGGGACGATTCTACCGGAAGAAATACTTTGAGATGCGCAAGGCTTTTTTTTTAATAGCTAAGGTAATCTCAGGTTTAGCCATTGTCTAATCATTTTGTTATTTAATTTTTTTTTATTATATGAGCGCAAACTTTTCCAAAGTCTTCCAGATCTTCATTTTAATGAATTTTTTTTGTAGACATTGATGACGGAAACTAATAAATAGTTGTACTAGAAACTTTGAGAAAACAGTCGACTCTTAGTCTAGAGAGTTCATAAAGCCTCGGCTAAATTATAGYTGAATGACCATTTTTTTTAAAMYCTTCTTAGGCGTTTGCTTAAACTKGTTGCTAATAATTAATGCTAAATTTTTTTTTTTCAWAGTTTGAAAGAGGTCGCGTCGCTCGTTTATTGTACAAAAAAYTGTTGGATTTTTTTAGATTGGAAGAAGAAAGGCGAAGAGAAGAAGAGCGAAGGAAACAAGAGGAAAGATTTTTTTCAGTTGAACCATGTTTGTCTTCCTAAAAGTTTAAAAAAATATCCTTTTAACTGTTTTTTTTTTTATACATACATCATGTAAGTCATTTCGTTTGCAAAGAAAAAAAGTTTTATTTTTTTTTTTTATTACCGTTGATTCCATGATCAACATTRCCAGGAACTCGCGCGCGCGTCAAATTTTTTTTAATTTCCCGCGTTTTTTTCGACAGCAAACTGGTTACCGGACATAACAACTTTCTTTTTTTGATATAAATTTAGAATGTGATGTATGTAAAGGACATTTTTATCTATATAAGTTTTTTTTTTCAGAGAAATGGAGAGATTGGAGCAAGAAAGAAAGATGAAAGAACTGGAAGAATTTTTTTTTAAGGTAGAAGCAATGCTACAGTCAGCCAYTGCAATACTATAACTTGAGAGCATATTTTTTTGAACTTTTGCACTCTTTTTTAAAATAAATTTGTTTTCCAGGCTGAAGAGGAATTTTTTTAGAGAGAGGAAGAAGAAAAAGAAAGAAAACGAATCGAAGAAGAGCAGCGGCAGGTTTTTTTGGCAAAAGCAAGAGCTCTAGAAGAAGCGCGAAAGGCAGAAGAAGAAGCCAGAAGACTTGCAGAGGAAGAGAAGAGACGACAGGTTAACTCTTTGTTTCTCGTTTTATAGAATACCTTTTTTTACTCCATGGCTCCGTTTTGATACCAATAATTAGTTAAATCGAACCCAAGTTAAATTTTTTTTTAAATTCTCTATTCGCTTGTCGATTTTTTTGTGTTCAGAATTGATGTATTGTTTTTTTTTTAAGTTGGAATATTTTTTTCACAAGATTAATCCATTTTTGCCAGATATAATGGGTTTTTTTCACATCGGTGTAATGTTGGTTTATTTGTAAATGTTTTTCTTTACTCAAACAGGATTTTTTTGAGCGAAAACGGCTYGAAGAAGAAGCCAGGTATGTTTACTAARTTTACCCACATTTTTTTTTCTTAGGTCTATTTGCATGCGTTATAATTTGTTTAGTTAAGTTACAAAGTTAAATTTTTTTTTATTACTGATAGACTTAAAGCGGAGGAGGAAGAAAGACTTCGACAAGAAGAGGAAGGACGTAAGATGCAAGCTGAAGCCGAAGCTGCAGAACAGATTGCTGAACTTGACAGACATTTTTTTGTTAGTAAACATCACAGAAAACATCACTTACGTACTGACTTACAAGAACTTAGGTTTTTTTTTCAGTTATATTTTCGGTAAAAAGAACAGTAAATTTATGCTGTTTCACGTTTAGTATGAGGACAGTGACGAAGAAGAAGATGAAGAAGAGGAAGATGTCCTCGGTCGACCACCAATTTTTTTTGAAATGGAGGAGATCCTTAAAGATGGCTACYTAATGTTGAGAGGTATTTTAACTTTTTTTTGGTATAAAATAATCATGCATCATGTCAAAAGTACTTAAACAGTTATGTACATCTTTTTTTTGTGTTTTGTATTGCGTTTGGAAAAATRCCGAGGAAAAAAGTCTGGATTAATTTTTTTTTTATTCTACCAATTCTTTTAAGGTGGATTGTTGAGTTTATGGAAGAAACATTGGTGTTTTTTTAAAGACGATACTTTCATGTGGTTTCGAGGAAAGCAGGTAATCCGGGCGCTTTTCTTTTTTTATTTATAGATACAATCAACGTTCAAACACCTTCTTGAACATGTTATAGTGTCCATTTTTTTGAGCGGTCGTTGTAAAGTGAGTTATTTTTAGAATTTTTTGGGAGTGTCGGTATCTTTTTTTTATTTTCTTTGGTTTGCACTTATTAGTTTAATTTATTGTTCGATTAGGATGCCTTTTTTTTTGGATGGTTGATGAAAAAAGGTGGCGGAACAGGAACGCTGTCCAGGTAAATCAATTTTTTTACAATATCAGAATATGAGATGCACTTTACTTCCAGTGACGAGTTTTTAAATCGTTTTTTTTATTCCCTGAATATTGTTTTGTAGGAGAAACTGGAAACGACGATGGTTTGTTTTGTTTTTTTATACTTTGACGTACTATGAAACGGACCAGGAAGGCGCTAAAGCACTGGGAGTCATTTTTTTAAGGAAAGCAATGTAAGCTATATGCGTTTTATTCCATTACATTCATGGAAGAATTTTTTTTGAAGGGGGTATAACAATGGTGGATTCACGTTATTTGTCAAGGGGATATGGGGGGTTTTTTTGCTGTTTATTATGACCTGAAAGGAGTCTATAGTCCACATCATCCACAGTCTTTGTTTTTTTACCAAATAAAGTAATATTTTCTCTGTGATTCTGCGCGTATGTCATCTTTCTTCAGTTCACAAGTGTTTTGTTGATATTTACAGGAGGATTGTTGATGATGGAGTCAAGGAAAATGTTTTTTTTATCGTTACWGAAGGCAGAACGTACCACATTGTCGCMGAGTCTATTCACGAATGTTTTTTTGCACAAAATAATTCAAGTGAACGCACTTAATCCGTGAAACTATACTCAGCTTTTTGTACTATGATTTTAGCCAGTGGTACAATATCCTGAACCGAGTCAATCGAGCCACAGAGGATTTTTTTAAGGACATGCGCGAAGAGTCAGCTAACGTRAAAAATGCTGTGGTAAGTCCATTCTTTTTTTGCATCTCAATAATGCACTGAGTCAAGTGCTTGCTTATACTGTCCTCTGGTTAAGTTTTTTTAAATCTTCTGTATCTTATCACTAGGGAACTATTGATGTTACTATGATCGAGTCGTTTTTTTTGGGTGGTGTGGCCAATAAACCAAACTGTTTCACCATCATCACAGCCAACAGAGTTTTTTTTTTTATGACTGAAACAGAAGAGGAAATGAACACGTGGGTCGATGGTAAGACATCTTTTTTTTATATACATTATTGTACTATAATACATATTGAGTGGTATTATGGATATTTGTGGTTTTTTTAAATAATAATTGAAAGAATGATTTAATGGATAAGTAATACGCGTACGATAGATGTTTTTTTAAAATTGAATTAATTGAACAAGAACAAAAATTTTCTAACCTCCGTGTAAAAGAATTTTTTTTTGGATTCTGTGACAATAAAAGGGAAGATATGATAAATTGATGCAAACAATACTTTTTTTTTCTATTTGACTTAATCAAACAATAATTCAAATCGATTTGTGCCTCGTGCCCAAAAAAATCACTTGAGGGAATGAAACCCATTTATGTACCGGCATTTTTAAACGTGGAAAGTAACTTTTTTTCCAAAAGAGGCTGAGTTCCCTGTGAAGGTACTGGATGAAAACAACTTCGCATATTTTTTTTTTTATAAAAGTGTTTTTATGCCATTTCTGTTTTAATATTCAACCATTTTGTACTGCGATAAAMTTTTCAGCTATCAACGACAGCAAGCAGCGTGAAGTGGACGAAGGGCTCGCTGATGTCATAGAGAAGGGTTGGATGGTCAAAGAAGGTGGAGACGATACAAAGCGAAAACGGTAACAATGGCTGTTCACCAAATTATTATATTCACAACTAACATATCAGGGCCCAGGTTAACGTTTTTTTTTAGTCTTATTAGATTTTATATAGATTTTCCGGAGAAGGAATTACCCGTTGGCTATTTTTTTTCACAGATTTTTATTTGGAAGGGAAATGGGAGAATAATTTTTTTTTTTATTCAATTTTTTTTGCCGTATTGACTTTGGTTCCGGCCGAAATGACTGAACCGTTGTAAATTCATGTTTTTTTTCACCAAAGAGAAAACCCAACGATACTAGCTATCCTTATATATACATCTTTGTCATTTTTTTGCATCATTTGCTATAATTCAGCATCATTTGACACCATTCAACATCGTTCATAATTTTTTTTAGTGTCCAGTTTTAATGGTTTATTTGTTTTCTTCAGGTGGTTTGTTATGACTATTTTTTTGATAGACTACTATAAGTCGTTCGTCAAGAACAGTCCTAAGTTTGGTTCTATCATTTTTTTTAGGTATCTTGTGTTGATTGGATCGATTGTTCCATGTCACAAGGATCGAGACTGGACTTTGGATCCTGCTCTGTTAAATTCGGATAACAGTCGCTCAGGATCCTGATTCCAGATTCTTTTTTTTGGGAAAAGAATTGGAATAAATCTTACAACAAACTGATTGTATTTTGTTCGTTTTTTTTTTCAGTTTGTGCTCAGTGGTTCCTCCTGAAGAAAAAGAACCAGGTATAATTTACATTTTTTTTACTTCGATAAAACTCCTTTCTTGATAGAACTTATGACATTACTTGTTTGTTTAGGCGATTGGACGTTTATTGTCAATGGTCGTAAACGGTCATACGTCTTACACGTGAAACAGCATTTTTTTGCGAACCGATGGGCTAGTGCCATCCAGGAGGTAACGTAATCAATTAATTTGAATTTTTTTTAATACGAATAGTGTTTTCCAGTAATGACGCCATCTTGGTTTGGCGAAGTGCATCATGGTATTGATAAAAGTATGAAGATGGCGGACAAATCATAAAAAAACGGATGTCGAAGTTTCTTCGATAAAAAGTGGTTGAAAGTTCCAGAGAAAATATAATGCTCGCAAATAATAGCAGATTTTTTTTCTACGAATAGTTTGCTATTTCAAGGTCCTTAGTTTTGCCCACTTTCGATTCCTCTCTCTTTTCTCTGTCGTAATATGCAACCTTTTTTTCAGGTCATTGACTCGAAGCCATTAATTGAGACACCATTCGAGAAGCTCGTTATGCTCRTCAAGGTATGTTAGAATTAGAGGCGTTTCTTTTTTTTTTTATTCTTCCCTAGGGGTTTAAAGAAGCTAAGAATTAATTCTGCGCTAAATGTTTTTTTCGTTATACCAATTTATGACACACTAAAAATGCATTAACTTAATGTTTAGGACGCTTCAAATCAAAATGAAGTTGAGGTTATAATTCGTACAAATCCAATCTTGAAGTACTCTAAGTTTTTTTTCAAGGCGCCATTACTAGCCTTGCCTTATGGTCATTCACAGTCTTCACGTAAGTTTTTTTTACACAGACAGACGAGTAACGAACGTTTCCCTTTYTTCAGTAAACCTCATCATTTAGATAATTGTTATAGTTTAGCAATTTTTCGGCACTAGCCATATCTTTGTGTTTAACTGTTTTCAATTTGACTCAAACATTTCACTCACTCATTCAGTCAGTCTCGCCATAAGTGGATGTCGCGGTGAAAACCCTTGGATCCCCTACGAAGTTCTTGGACTGTTAAATKAATTTGTTTGTTAATTTTTTTTCTTGTGAAGTGCATTTGTGCATTTGAGCTGTAGACGTATACCAAATTACAACCCTTTTTTTCACATGTGTTGAAGTCAACGCAAATTACTTCAAAATGTTGTTTCTGTTTATTATTTTTTTTAATTAAATTGAATTTRGCACATGTGGACTCAGCGTTTGGTGTGCGTCACGGTAGTTTTTTTATTAGGTTCATTAGGTAGTTTGATGTTGTCTAATGCTATAATCTACTTACTAATGAGAAAATATTGTACAGCGAATCAAATGATGTCCGTGCTATTTCATATCATAATCCAACCATGACACAAGCTGACAAAACTACTAACGCTTAACGTTTACTGATATAATGCGATATTATTATTTTTTTTCTAGACGCTGCTGAGAGGATAATATTTATTGGGCCGTACCAATGTAAGTATACCTTTTTTTACGCAGTTAATACTCCTGCCTTCTGTAACACTGCTTTGTTAATTTTGATATAACTTTTTTTTTATGATTATTTACGCTTATTATKATTATTTTTAATAATCACTAATCATCTCTATTTTTTTTTATACTTTATCATTAGCGTATAATTATTATTTAAAACTGAGCGCCATAATTACTTTTTTTGTTTCTATTTGACCTTGCAATTCAATTGGCTATTTAGTTGGTAAAAAAAAAACATTTTTTTAAAAACAAAAAAACAATAGATTCAGAGTGTGATACTATTTGCCACTCTAATCTTTTTTTTTAAACTCTTCACTGCACTATTATTAATACAAAACCTCTTCACCTATGCACTTCTACCTTTCATTATATTATCAAATGCATCGAGACTAGAGAAATGCGGTAATTGTATCGACAACAAATCATTTTAATCATTGTGCATTGTATCGTGAAGGTGCCAAGGGTAAGGGATATGGTACTTTTTTTTTAGAAGCCGTTAGAATTTTCTCTTCATTACAAGAACAAGAAACTGTTGGCGATCCTTTTTTTGTCATACAGGTAATTAAACTGCGCAATCTGATTGGCTGATTAACTATTTTCCCGTTTTTTTCTAGAAATGGCGCGCGCGTCAAGTTTTTTTGTATTTTCCCGCCTAAATGTCAGCTTTTTTTGTTGCTATAGATTTTCGACTTTTACAATAAGTATGCGATATCTTAAGTCTCTTTTTTTTTTAGGCATGACAGCATGGAAGGGATCATATTTTATTATGATACTCTAATTAAAATTTTTTTTTCATTCTTTCTTTCAGGGAATTCTCCAAACCTGTCAAGATCTGAAACCTTTGAGATTTTTTTTATAGTAAAGTACTAATGCCCTTACTATAAAAGTGATAAACAAGTGATCAAATTTTTTTTTATACATTGAAAAATGCAACTGTTTCATTGAAAAAGTGACACTGATCTATATAGCTTTTTTTCCCCAATCGCTGTTGGTCTTTASGTAGTTGTCGCACACGTTACACTATTCCAAATTTTTTTGACCGTTCAGGATGCGTGAATATGAAAACATGCTGTTTTCCTCTCCTCAGGTGTTTTTTTTACTTATCAAGCAAACGACCACCCCTCCAGACGTTGATTCTATTGGTAGTCTTAGTTTTTTTCAGGTTTGAACTGTCATTTATTGTACACAAAATAAGATAACTCATGCTGTCAATTTTTTTTTATAATGCATGCCATCAGTAATGCACGCCATCATTGGTTATTTTTGACTTGAAGTTTTTTTTGTGCATGTGTTGTACGTTCATCCCTACAAGGAAGTATCTGAGATACTTAAGGATTTTTTTAAAAAGGTAATTGTAACACGTTGTTGTGGTTGTGTTTATTCTTGTGATTGCACTTTTTTTTGCCCTTACGGTTGCGTTTACTCTTGTGCTTGCGCTTGTGGTTGCGTTTACGATTTTTTTTTCATTCGAGAGTGCGCTTGTGAATGGTTTACGATTGTGAGATTACACTTGTGACTTTTTTTTCACGTGTGATTACGCTTGCGTTTACATTTAATTGTTATTGCATTGTTGTTGCGTTTTTTTTTGTGATTGAGGAGCTGTGAAAATCAGGCATTACTGTGTTAACTCTTAAAACTGCTTTTTTTATCCTCTCCTTACAGTTATCTCTAGAAAATAATCCTCTCAACTTTCGTTCTTGCTTTTTTTCTTTTAGCAAGAGTCGAAAAAAATACACATTTAATATTTCAATTGTGATAAAAATTTTTTTACCATTGCTCTTTCTAGATTACGAGACAAGAATCCCAACACAGAAACAGCTAAATTTTTTTCTTTTGCTCTAGAGTGTGCTAAAAGAGCACGACCTCGGTAAGGTGTCTGTCTATTTTTTTTAACTTTACTCGTTAGATATTGATTGTAACTCTTATTTGATTTCCACAGTGAGTTTTTTTTTTCAAGAGAGGAGATCATTTCACTTCTTGTAAGAAGTCTCACAACTTTCGTATTTTTTTTTTAGTTTAGTACACTGTGTTTGCCAACTTAGGGCCACAATGCGCCACAATGCGCTCTTTTTTTACGCAGTCTTGGATATTAAACATCGCTAGTTATCATTTCTACGATTTTACAAATTTTTTTTTGGAAATGGAGGTTAATTATTGTGCATTGTTTTACCTCAGGGTCGCAGAGAACTTTTTTTTGTGGTGCATTGCTACGGTGGRGGCTCGTGTAAGATTACCATCAACTCTGCAACATTTTTTTGAGAGGTAAAACAATAACCACAACAACAACAGCAACAACGTATACTACTAATACTTTTTTTTTGAACCAAACTATAAACCAATAAAAACAACWGCAAAAACAGTAATAGCAAGACTTTTTTTAATCAGTTTTTTTTGTGTTTTCCTTTCCGAAATGGCACATCAACTTGAAGGGAATTTTTTTAAACCAATTATTTGTTTATGGATTAATTAGCATAGCCGTCAGAAATATAACGGTTTTTTTTCTCACTGAGTTTCTCATCTTGTTTTGCTCGTAGAAAATGGTGTCTTTGTTTATCTTTTTTTTCAATAATTGATATTAGTAATATCATTTACCATTAGGTGACTGAAAGACTGAGTTTTTTTTTTAACCTTACCCACGAGTACAACATATTCTCTCTGTTTGAACAATGTGGATCTACAGAGAAAAGCATCGAACCACGAACAGTCCTCGCCGATGTGCTGTCTAAGTTTGAAAGGTAATGTCTTACTGTTTTTGATTGTTGACGCAGCCTCTGATTAATTTTTCCTTAAWRAAATAGTTTTTTTTGTTGTTGTGAGATTTTGATTTTTACAGTAAATGCCATTCACATGGCAGCATTTTTCATTATCGCAAGGACTTCAACACTACRTTTTTGTTTCTCGATTATCCTTAGCTTTCCACTTTTTTTTCTCTTGTGCCAGCATCTTTCATAACAGGAACAATGAACACTTGTATCTAGYAGCTTTTTTTGCGAGCAGAGAGTACTTCCTTCCTCAATCCTCTCTTTGGGAAAGGATCTTTAGATTTTTTTCGAGGAAAAGGAATGAATTTTCTCTGYAGTTTAGGCCAAACAGTGTACTTAAGTTTTTTTTTTCTATTACAGGTATAAAGCACTAGGACTGACCGAGACTGGCAAGAAATGGAAGTTGTTTTTTAAAGTATTTTGTTACCTTGAACCAGAAAGGGTTCCTGACGAGACGGTGGAGTTTTTTTTCCTATACGAACAGGTAAAACACGAACTAAATGACCCTTTCACCATATTCATACCTTTTTTTATAAAAGTACGAATTTCGTTTGATTTTGGTACATATGGCAAATGGTTGTGATTTTTTTTTTTCCCAATATGACTTCATGTCATGTTCGGTAATGCTCATTACAAACTGAAGTCATTTTTTTTCTCGTATTGTGTGTTTTTCAATTAACAAGCTTTATTTCTCAGGCATATCTTTGATTTTTTTCTAGTGCGCAGACATCTTATTTAATATTTCTTTGATAGGCTTGTGACGCAATTTTTTTTTTGAAATATCCAGCTCCTACCACGACGGTCTATGTGTTGGCAGCCCTGAGACTGCAGTTTACTGATGGAGACTACCGAGTGGGGGCCTGGGTGTAAGTATTAATTGACAATGATTGATTTTTTTTCACAAACGAGTGTAAATTCGAATATTAATGTTAATGATGAATTGTAAACTCATTTTTTTTAGTTAAGCATCTTTTGTAATTATTTTCTGGCAGATCTGATCTCGAAACTGTTTATTTTTTTGGAAGATTAAAACACCCGCCAAAATCTGAAAAAATATCACGTGACAAAGCAACCAATTTTAGCATCAAGGGAACACTGCGCAAGGCAGTGACGCCCTTTAAATCAGGTACCACTTTTTTTTTTGGGGGTTTGTGATCTTAATATTTATATTGTGCCATTTTGTATACAAGGAGTTCTTTTTTTTGAGGAGACTGGAGAAGAATCAAAAACAGCGACGGAAGAGGAACTGTCAGCAATTTTTTTTTCAATCTGTGAACAATGGAAAAAATTCCAGGTACTCCGATCATTTACATAATTATTTTTTTCCATCAAAAATGTTTCGTGTAACATTTCTTTTCTGAACTGAAAATATTTCATGATTTTTTTTACTTGTYTTTGCAGGGYTTGGATCAAGAACATGCACAAAGACAGTACATGGAATTTTTTTAAAGCTGGCCAGGATACGGCTCAACCTTGTTTGAAGTAGAGGTATTGTAGCTGTTTTTTTTTATCGATTCGATRATTASATTTYGCTCCTACTAGGAGAGGTTGGTAACCACTACTTTTTTTTTCCGTTCTGCGMTTSGTRCMATATCAGTAACTCTCACATAAACGTCTAGTGAGTTTTTTTTTAGCGGAAGGAGTACAGCCTCTTTGGTCTTGAATCGTTGTGAACATCATATTATTTTTTTCAGGGGCCAGTGGACTTGAACTAACATTAGTCAAATTAGGTGGTGTTTTTTTTCTTTTTTTTCTCAGTCAATGAGTATCAATACTCTMTTTCCAGACTAAAGATCCAGGATTACCTTTTTTTTTGTGGATAGGTGTTAGCTTTAAGGGTGTATCCATCTACAAACGTGGAGACATGTTTTTTTAATGTTCTTACACTTATGAAAAGTAAGCATTTTTTTTCTATTTATCATATTGGTTTTTTTTATGTTCTCTTGGGTGAGACAAATTTGAAGTGAAATGCGTAAGGTTGATGAAAATTTTTTTTTTATTTCTAGTATATTGTCGTTTGGTGCGCCACAGCCTAATGTCTACAAAATCGTTTTTTTTGGCAGGGAACCAATGCTCTTTATTACAACTCAGGTAACCCAAACGTTCTTTACTTTTTTTGCATGCTCTTGTATGATCTCCGCTGCTATCCCACATGGTGTGTTTCAACGTCGGTTTTTTTATGGCTGCTTATTCCCTTGCCCCTTGTACCATGCATGCTCGGCTGTGTCATATCTTTTTTTGGAACGATTCTAGCGGGGTAACCACCTTCAGTTTCACACACTAACGTTCTTCTTTTTTTTTGCTCCTAAAATAACTTCGAACCAGCCGTCAGAAATAATTTCTGCGAAGTCATATTTTTTTTTATATGTCAAATATTTCTTGTTATAACGGCTACATTTTCTTTCCATTCCATTAGTTTTTTTAAATCGCCAAGTTAATGAAGGCTTACATCAATGAAATAGTCCGTCGCAGACGAGTTTTTTTAATAAGCCAATTCTCATCTTGACACGTAGCATTACAGTCTTTTTCTAGTGTTTTTTTTTTTAACTTCAAACAAAATGGAAAAAGGTTTTGCAACAATTATTAATATAAAATGACGAATTATTTGGTTTAGTTTCTTGTGAACAATTATAAAATATTAGTAAATATAGCAATGTAAATTTGAACAGTTTTTAATGTTTCCATGTGTCATCAGTTGTAACACTGATTTCGATAAAGTACAAAAGAGACAATAAATTTTGAAATCATTCTTTAAATAAGTTGATATTTAATGCAGCAAGTATTTTTTTCCCACCAARAAAATACTTCGTACAATATACGGAGTCAAAGATATAATACAAGTGCCGCTATTTTGAAATTAAAGCATAAAACCTTAAGTATTGAAGGGGTGGGCTGCCTATAATTGCGCGCGCGTTTTAAAATTTCGTTGAAGGCCACCGCGCGCTATTCTCTTTTTTCCCGAAAATATAATTTTAACATGCTCTTGTACATTCGTACTTTGAAAAGCCTTATAATAGGGAAAAATATTTTTTTATATCTACGGCTTTTGCAAGGGCATGCATTAGAAAGGGACAGTTYTGCAACAATTTTTTTTACAGCGGTACTGTCCMTGTTACGGAGCCCACGTTCCTCTTGGTCTGCGCGTCATTTCATTTTGGCGACATGTTTTTGTCGGTGTCTTTTCACCCATACTTTTCACAATTCAACGATTTTTTTGATGTGGCAAAAACGRCGAAARGGAAGCGGCGAAAGTCACCACATTATGGTGGAAAACATCAACACAGCAATCATAGAAACAGGATGATAAACTGAGACTGTCAYGGGTTGCTTGTTTTTTTTTTCGCTGTGCAGAGTTTTATTTCTTAAAAGTCGACCAAAATGGAAGCACAGTACCGAAAAAGTTATCGACTCTGAGACAACAACAACTACACAATTTCTTTTCAGGTTAGAAATTTTTTTTTATCTGCAAGTACCTTGACTTTTGACTCTTTTATGTACTCCTGCTTTTGAATGACTTTGCTTCTGAATGCTTTGAAACAGCCAAATGATAGAGTTTAGAGAAAGCAATATTTCTTTTTTTTTTTTGAAAAGCCGCCTCATAAAAATGAAATAAGGCTGGACTGAAAACACAGAATGTTTTTTTACCATTTGATAAAAATGACCAATCAGAAATGGTGTTATATATGTGCCTTTTCAATTTTTTTAACAACTACGTCATTTCAAGCGCGCGACTTTTACGTGCACGTGCACGCACGCAATTTTTTTAGCGGTGGTTTCCAAGGTAATTTACTTTGTTCAGCTTCGCGAACATTTTGCAACTTTTTTTTTGAGCTCTTAGCAAACTCTTCACAACGCATYCAAATTGTATTTTTAAAACAACTTTTTTTTCTACAATGGCTTTATTACCTTATGCCATTGAGTTACCATCATCTATTGGAAATTTTTTTTGCCAAGAAACGGGAAATCCTTAYACGACTCCCATGCAACCGCTGTCATTCGGYTTTTTTTTAACATCTTCAGGGCTGCCAAGTTCTTCACTTGATCACTTCAGCAGCCAAGAGGTTTTTTTTACAGGCGTGACACAGTATATCAATTACTGCACAACTGAAACCAAAACAGTACAACGAAACAACACCACGTTTGAGGATACAATCGTCACTACCGTCTGCTATCAGAAAAAAATTTTGTTTGATGGAACTTTCTTCGAGAATGAATCCAAACTGGCCATCCATTCCCTCAGAGATGCTTTTTTTAACCTTCACTGTAGCTGGGTGGACGATGAAAATCATCAAGGAACACGGGACTATTTTTTTTAGTCAGAATCAAGCGAGAACCATTTTTCATGCAATGACAGACTAATAGAGGAAACACAGTACAGAAGTTTCTTCATTAACTTTGTTCCTGGACAATTTGCTGTTGAGGAAATGGCATTTGAATATATGGAAGATCACCGGGAATTCGAATTCTATGATTTTGCTGTCAATTTCCCGTTTTTTTAGGACATTCTCTGCGCAAACAACTTCAGCAAGCTTATCGACAAAATAGTTCCATTTTTTTTGGAGCAGGGAAGGTTGATGGATGTTGACATGCTTKCCGCCTCACATGTTTACGATTTTTTTCTGAACGTCCGAAGAGGGCAAGCTACCACTTCTGAGATGATACAGTTAAACTATTTTTTTTACCCTCAACTGTGCTTAGAGAACACTGCTGTGGAAGAAAAACCTATTGAATCAATTTTTTTCAACGATCTTGGTTTGAAGGACATATTCCTAAGTCCGTCNAACTTGAGTGCCATTACACACGATGATTCTGTTTCATCTTATGGCCTGAAGGACATGTTTCTATCGTCCACTTCTTTAGGAAACTTGAGTGCCATTACACACGATGATTCTGTTTCATCTTATGGCCTGAAGGACATGTTTACATCGTCCACTTCTTTAGGAAACTTGAGTTCCATTACACAGGATGATTCCATTTCATCTTTTAACCTGAAGGACATGTTTCCATCRCCGTCCACTTCTTTGGGTAACTTAAGCGACATTACTCTTGACAATACTATGTCGTCACTGACATCAGAGAACAAATTTGGATCATCATTTTCATCCTGCAGCGGTTTTCATCTGTTTGATGATGTTACTCCTGCTAGTGTATACCCCGAATATGATCTTCCCACTGAAGTCGCGGAGAGTGTACCAGTCTATGTTTACATGGCGAACATTGAATCTGAAGAGGAGGCAAGGCAGCTGTGTGATCATGAATCTGCAGAAATAAGTTCATCACCGTCGTCAAGTGACAATACTAGTATTTCGGGTACTAAGGAATCTAAGCTTGACCTTGATTCGTTGTCTTCTGTACACCAATTTGTACGTGAAACGCCTCTACTAGAAGAAATGCATGAAGTTAAAGCAGATGAAGTCACTCCTCGCTCGAAATCCTCACGTTTAAGGAGACTGAAGAGTTTTCTTAAAAGTTTGAACATATTTGCTGGAGCTATCTGTGGTAAGATTGCATGTACCTTTGTACAAAATAATCTCGTCATGTAAAGAAACTTTGTTGACTGGACTTTGTACAAATCACTTCTTCAAGTGACCAATCGCTCTCCATGTCCAATGACGCCAAGAAACCGAACACATATAACTTTTTGTAATCCTGGGAACTATAAAATGAACATTTGTTGTATATAACGAAAGCGGATTTTTATTGTATATAGATAGAACCTCATTGTCAATATTATTCTGATAATGTAGATAACGTAAAAATAATGGATTGTAAATAAAATATATCTTGTAATTGTTACATGAATATTCTTTCGATGCCTGAGGGTGGGATGTTTAGCTCAATGTCGGTAGTAATGCTRTTGTCCCAATCGCTCAAAACGCGTTMATGTATTGTTACGTTCTAGTTCTTTTTCGTGGAAATACRGTTACATGGACACTAGTCCCGAATATATCAAGCAATCGAGTTKTCTTCTTCAGCTTTGATATATCGATTGGCTGAACGACTGCTACGCATTTTTTATGATTGAGTCGTGTTTATTTTTCCTTTTGCAATCTATCTTCTGAATTGGATATCATGCGCGGTTAAGGTGAATGTTTAGACTTCATCGAGGTCATGCATAATGATATAAAGAATCAGAGCAAAATGACCGCCCAGTCATGCGTTTTGAGGCAAAATTTTAAAAAACAGTAACGTCACAGCATCTTTCAAATAGCATGCAGTACCATATATTGTTAGGACGCGAGTTAACGCTCTGAAAGCGTCTAGTTGTTTGATATCATTGATGTTACGTTACATTCTTACTTAAAATTTATATATTAAATACCACATTTCTTATAGCAGGACTTATTACAATATCTGACAAACAATTTTTAATTCTCATTAGGTTTTCTGTAATATTCGAGAGCGGTTCTTARACCCGTGAAATGGTTTTCGAATATATGAATAATACTATTTATCAATACCCACAACACGCGCAATATTTTTTTGCTACTATCAGTGTCAAAGGTTTTTTTAATCTAAATACATGAAATTGTTTCGAGTGTATAAATGACTGATATTTTATTTATCAGTATCCATAACACGCGCAATGTTTTTT